GGGAGGATACGCGGGAAATCGAGCGGAAATAGGAAGGCGTGGCCGCGAGATTGGATCGCGCGTGATAATTATTTAAAATTGCATCTTTGCGATATTATCACGATTCGCTTCCAATTAATTTCCAAGAATAAAGCTTTTCCTTTACTTTCCCGAATTCGAATTCGACGTGTGACGAAAACCACAGGATAAAAAAAGAAAAGAAAAAAGAAGAATAAGAGAACGGGTCCAGTAACGAATCACGAGCGAGCAACAAGTAACAAGGAGCGTGAAATAACGGGCCGTCGAAGGACGTGCACGGTTGTCGGCTTCGAGAACATCTGTAACGCTACGTGACAATCGGGTTGGAAGCGGCGTAGGTAGTAGGGAGCGGCGATTAAGCGGTTCGAGTCGAAACTCGAAACGTTGAGTGGAACGGGGCCATTGTCTCCTTCGCTTCCACGATTACGGTGGAAGATGGAATCGAAGCGCGGAGGGAGGGAGGGAGGGGAGAGAAAGGGTTTCCTTTCACGGAGGTTGGGCCGCGCGGTTTAAGGCCGAGAGCCCCTTAATTCGTGAGCATATGGCCGACCGCTGGCACGCGTCGCATAATTTCGTTCCAATGGTCGGCGTGTTTGGAAAGGCTGGGCGGAAATAGCCCCGGCTTCAATGAGAGTCGGAAGTGTGTACAATGAACGCGGCGCACGGCTAAGGGGGATTCGATGATTGGCCGACCAACGTTGTCGCAACGTTGTCAACACGCCATCTCCTCCCTTCCCCCCTCTTGCTTCTCTTTTAAAAAAAGAAAACTCTTTTCGCGCCTCGATTCGAAACGATCGGGCGCATCACAGCGGTCAATTGTGCACGGTTGCCATTTCCAAATGATGTATGATCGAGAGGGCGCAATTAACACGGTAAGCTTCTGAGACTGCGCTCAGCGTGAATTGCATTTTGATAGCGGTGTTGTCAAGTTTTGAGCATTTAATGCTCCGGCATTTTTCGATGTCTACGTAATATAGTCGTAATATAATGTAATATCACCTTTCTCTAAATATAAATATTTGTGATAATTGACAAAGTGTACACAGGAATATATCAATAATCTTGAGCAACTATTCGATCGTTTAAATTCTTTCTATTACTGCATCGATGATATATCTTTTTATTTATTAATAATTATGTATGATAATTATAAAACGCGGGAATATCAATATTCCTAAGCAATGATTGCTTACCTAAATTCTTTCTTAATTCGACGATTACTCATCCACCGATGATACATCTTTTTCTAATTTACCAATAAATATTTATGATAATTACAGAATATACAGATATCGATAATCCTAATCTCTAAATTCTTTCTATTCGACGATTACTCATCCACCGATGATACATCTTTTACCGATTTATTAATAAATATTTATGATAATCGCAGAACATACTCAGAAATATCAATTAATCCTAAACAATGATTCCTTATCTAAATTCTTTCTATTCAATAATTACTCATGCATCGATGATCCATGATCAGCTTGTGATCGTGCGAACGAGACTGAAATCTCATGCGATGGTTAGGTCACGAGTCCGACCTATTATCTGAAATAATGAAAAAAACCGACTCACGATAAAATTCCAAAAAAAATCTCTCATTTTCTCTTAAAGAACGCAACCAAGAGAGAAAGAAAGATAGCAAACACAGTGTACAGAAGCAAAGGAGAAGATA